GGGGGAGGGTGGGGAGGGGGCGGTTAGGGAGCAGCCAGAGGCCCAGGAATTTGGTGGGGAGCCAGAGCAGCGTTGGTTTTTTCAGAGAGGCTGGACTGGTCAGAAGCAAGCAGTATGTTGGGAACCTACTCTGTGTAGGTTCTGGGCTGCACCTCTAACCAGATAGGCGAGGAGCTTGTAATTTAGTAGGGAAGACAGTCCATTAATAAGCAAACAGGGTCTCCTCCAGGAGTGCTAAGAAGGATGTAAAACAGGGTAACGGGCAATGAGAAAGAGGAACATGGGGTGGGGCGAGTATGGCCTGGAGGGCGTTGTGGGGAGGGCCACAGGGGTGAGATATGAGCGAAGCCTCGAATGGTGAGGAAGAGCAGGAGGAGCACGTGCAGAGGCCTGAGCCTGCTGTGTTGAAGAGCAAAAAGCAGCCGCTGTGGACTGGAGGCGAGTAGGTGAGGGGAAAGGCCATGAGGGGAGGCCAGTGGGCAGATGGGTTTCAGATCATGTAGAGTCTCTTGGCCGTGAAAGGGTTTGGTCCTAGGTGCAGTGGGAAGCCATCGATGGATTTTAAGCAGGGGCCTCCCCCTTTGGATTGGGGGTTATGAGTGGCCACAGGGAAGCCAGCGAGGCTGATGCTGTTGTCAGGAGAAAGACCCGTGGTCTGGGCCTGGGGGTGGAGGTGGAGAGAAGTGGGCAGATCGCAGGAGTGCCTTGGAAGCAGAGCCGCTGCCCTTGCCACAGGAGGAGACGTGGAGCATGCGGGAAAGAGAAGCAGGCAGCCCAGGGTTTGGCCTGAGGCCAGGTCTCAGGAGTGGGTGAGGAGGCTGGTGAGCGAGCCAGGGATGGAACAGAAAGGAGCCGGAGCCCTGCAGGCCTTGGGAAGTGGGCTCCTGAGCGCCTGGCCTGGGGACCCCCGTGTCCTTTGGACCCCTTCTCTGAAATGCCACTGCCTCCTGCTTTCTGAAATGGGGACTCGGGCCCCCAGGAGGGCCTTGCCAGGACACAGCTTCCCTGGGTGCATAAAATAATTGGCTTCCTGTATTAGCTGTGATTATTCTCGACAATTCACATGTTAGTCATAAAAGTGGCACAAGAAAGGGGGAAACGATCCTTACTCTCAACAACTAGGGATTCCCAAGGGTATTCTCCGAATCCAACTGTGTTCTGGGCCCTGCCACATGCCACTGCCTCTGAATTCTCCTTGGGGCTGTGCCACTCCACTTCCAGGTCATACTGTGGCGTTGCCACCGTTCCTTTGCCCTGGGCAAGTTGTTGGCCTGTGCCATCTCTCTCTCCTTTTGGTTTAGCTTTTGGGTCTGTCCTCTCTCTCTGTCATCACATTGTCTTTGAGGCCTGACCCAGCATTTCATTCTGGGCCCACGAGCTCTCTCCTTGACCTTGGTTTTGTATCCAGCCTGTGCCACCTCTCTCTGTCTGTGGTTACCTTCAGACCTGTGCCTCTCTTACCACCTGGGCTCTGCTGGGGCCTGTATTGCCTCATGTGCTGTCAGTCTCAGCTCCTGCGGGCTGAGTGCATATCACCCTTGGGCCAGAGGTCCATGACCTTGACTCTTTTTAAAATTATTTTTAATATATTTTTATTGATTTTTTATAGAGAGGAAGGGAGAGGGATAGAGAGTTAGAAACATCAATGAGAGAGAAACATCGATCAGCTGCCTCCTGTACACCCTCTACTGGGGATGTGGCCGCAGCCAAGGTACATGCCCTTGACCAGTATCGAACCTGGGACCTTTCAGTCCACAGGCCGACGCTCTATCCACTGAGCCAAACCGGTTAGGGCCAGGACCTTGACTCTTAGTTCAGCCCCAGAGGGAGGTCTCTGCTTAGAGTCATTATGTCTGGAAGGGACATCCTGGGCGCTGGGTCCCAGCCCTCACCCCCATTTTACAGAGGCCCACAGATGTGGAAGCCCCTGCCTGAAGTCACCCAGAGCTCAGGGCAGAGCTGGGGATTCCCGCTCCGCACCTGGTCCTTCCCAGCCCCCTGCCCTGCTTGGGCTATCATGTATGTACGCATGTGAGGGCCACGTGTGCGAGTGTGGGCGCTATGCCTCTGGCAATGCCTGCTCTCCCGTGTGTCTCCACTCCTCCCCACACTTGTGTACAGGGCGTGCATCTATCTGCCTGCGTCTGTGTGGGCGGTGCGTCACTGGCCAGCCTGTGTGGGTGTGGCATGCTGAGCTCACAGTGGTGGTGGTGTAGACGTGACTGTGCACGGTGCTCACATGTGCAGGTTGTGTGTGTGTGTGTGTGTGTGTGTGTGTGTGTGTCTGGGGGTTGAGGGGAGGGTATGAGAAGTGTCAGGTTTTTTCCCAGCTGCGTCTGCCCACAGCCAAAGGTCAGCTAATGTCCACTTCGGCCAGAGCGAGATGGCCCTTTTGGAGCAGGGATTCCAGGTGTGCCAGCCCCAACCTTCTCTCTGTCGCACCCGGCCCCACCCCCACCCTTCCCCGCATCAGAACTGGACCCCAGCTCCACTCCCCCAAAATCAGGATCTCAGTTGAGCTGGGCACTGAACCTGCTGCTAGTGTCCACCAGGGGCAGGGAAGTAGAGGCCATAGCTCTTGCCTCTACTCTCTAGTGCCTTTGCCCCTCTGAGACTCAGTTTCCCCATCCACAGAACAGGCTAGTAGTGGCCCTGAGGGAGCTGGTGGGAGGAGTTCATGGGGTGATCTCTATGCAGTTCTGTCTGCATGGAGCCTGGCACAGAGGAAGCATGTGACAGATGTTGCCTGTTGAACTAAGACAGAAGCCAAGGCCCCCAGAGGGTCCTGAGTAAGTCGGCGTGCAGGCATCTCAACACCAATCCCAGGTTCTCTCCAAGACCCCAGAGGGGGGGGTGAGGGTCAGTGGCAGGTTTTATAAAACAGCACGTTAGTGATGAACTTGACGGGGTTAGGAAGGACTGAAAGGGTCAGGGCAGCTGGGCAGGAAATAGGCCACAGGAGCTTCTTCCAGCAGATGTGAGGTGACGGGGGTCCAGGCTCCTGCCCCCTCCTGTCCTCGCTCCTGGCCTCATTCGGCTTCTGATATTCTCTCTTAGTTGCTCTCTGTGCGTTTCTCTCTGACTGCCTGTCTGTCTCCCTGCCCACTCCTCTGCCCCGCCCTGCTTCCCCTCAGCAGAAGGCAGACCTGGCTGTGGCTGCATTCACCATCACAGCAGAGCGGGAAAAGGTCATCGACTTCTCCAAACCCTTCATGACCCTGGGGATCAGCATCCTCTACCGAGTGCACATGGTACGGTTCCCGTGGAGACATGGAGGCTGGAGGCAGGGGCTGGACCTGGGCAGGGCCAGTTGGGCTCATGGGCCGCTGGTGGTGGGGAGCAGGGGTTGGCATTCAGCTCAGGTCAGGGTGGCTCGGGGCCTCACTCCCTCTCCCCACAGGGGCGCAAGCCTGGCTACTTCTCCTTCCTGGACCCCTTCTCCCCTGCTGTGTGGCTCTTCATGCTTCTTGCCTACCTGGCCGTCAGCTGTATCCTGTTCCTGGCTGCCAGGTGAGCCCACTGCCTGCTGCCTGGGAAGAGGGGGCAGGGAGGAGGCCTGAGCCGGGTCCCACGATGACCTGCACATTCTGTCCTCTGTCTGCACCATCCTCGGCCTCCACTCGGGCCTTGGATTCCCTGCACCCTCCTTCTCCCGTCCTGGCCCTGTCTCTGCATTTCACCCTGTGGCTCTGACTTGCTCTGTGGCCCTCTCTCTGGGCTGCTCCCCTTCCCATTCTTTCTGTCTTTCTCTGTTTCTCTGTGTGTCTCTCTCTCTGTCTCTTTCTGCCTCTTCTCTGTGTCTCTCCATCTCGGTGTGTGTCTCTCTGCCTCTCTCTCTCTCTCTCTCTCTCTCTCAATGTGTTTCTCTTCCCACCCCTTCTCGTGTGTGTGTCTCTCTGTTCATATCTTGGTCTCTTTACCCTCCATTTCCTGTCTCTCCCACATCTCTCCTGATCACGTTGCTCTGTCTCTTTC